TAAATGATATATAAAAATGTCACTTTGATTATTACTGTATATCTTGAAATATATCACACACAATTTGATGTCATACAATACTGAAGAGTTTGAAGTTTTCATTCAAATAGAAACACATTCTTTGAAAACAATGACAAATTTTTGTTGTAGAAGCAAATCTAAAAATGTGTCAATGATGCCTATTTGTATTGTCTAACATAAAATGGGTCACTTCCGCTCTGCTAATCTTTCAATTGTCAACAGTATGGGAATTACCTTGCATGGGTATTCCATTCTAGACATAATAATAATACTGCTGGCTTAACAGTTTCACACAAAACACATGGGACTTGATGGCATGCTCCATTTTATTCAAAAACTGTTTTTAACCTTGTCTCCGAATTACTTTACACGCCAAAATCTTCAGAGTCTTAAGCATTGCGAGAAAGTCATCAATACGAATGAGTGCACTTAAACTCAACACCAAACAGTAATAGATTAACATTTTTGAACTGTTTATAGACCATTGCAAGGATCAGAAAACATTCCAACACAATATTCATACTATAAAATATGCATTATGGCCAAGTTTATACAGTACTAAAGTGTATTTGAAGTCAGTCTTCCTGCTTTACATCCCAGCAGGTTTGCATAATCCTTTTGGTTAAAGTCATTGGATTTCAGACCCCCAATTAAAGGAGAATCATCTCTGCATAAGAATCGATGATACAAATAAAAACCTTAGCAGGATGTCACAGATAGTAAATGCACTCAGATATAACAAAACTGCCATTAATTGTCTTATACAAGTTTTGTTTTAATGGCAATCCAACCATCAAACAAGTATCCTACGAAATATATGTGAAATGAATTTATTCAACCAGGATGACTTCAATACATACAGTTGATGGTATTGTGTGGCTCTAGATTAGTATATATATAAAATCCTAATCTACAGATTGTTAAGAAACAACAAGGACAAAATCCCAGATGACAGAGAACCAGGATTTACATTACACTGGCTGAAAATAATAGAACGAGGAGTAAGGCAATATATGTACAATACGCCAAGAATTTTGCAGTGGCACTAGCCTGTTATGATAATGCCAAAGATATAAAGATTTTATGGAATAAGGCTAGAGAAATCAGGTCATTGGTATATGTGGCAACTATTGAAAAAATTGAAATATACAGGCTGAAACTAAAGGACTCACATCTGAATGGAAAGGATGTGGAGTCATTACACATGGAGTGAAAGTCCATTAAATACCACTCCTAAACTTATACTGGGACTTATGTATAACAAACTAAAAAAAAAGTATTCACATCGGGAAAAACAAGAAAAATCTTCAAGTTTGACACTAAACAATTGCAACGGAAAGTAATTATCGAGCCAATTTATAAATCAAAGGATGAATATCAAAAAAATTTAATAAGTTATCTAGCAACTGAGATGATAACATGAAATATTAATTGGTTTATTGTGCACATTTAAACAAAAATATTTCAATTTTAATCAATCAAAAAAGAGCCAATCATCCAATCATTATAACTTACTTATCAAGCAAATTTAATAAAATTAAAATTTATGCAAATAATATATATTTTTTATTTGACTTTCATTCTAACACCAAAATACCTTTATCTTTTAACACAAGATGGCATACAAAAAACAATTCCATGCAGAGTTTGGCCATTTATTTGTTCAACGTATCATATATTACAATTTGTTAAATACTAGGCAAGTGGCACGAGGGCATCATTTTCTGGATTAGCTACTTGAAGTGTGCCATAGAGTTAGCATCATGTTTGTCGGTTTGTAGTTTAAGTGTACTATCTTGAAAATCTGGTGTGTTGTGCTGCCATAGAATGATCAGACCTGGGAGAGATGTTAAGATGTTTGTTTTTCCCTGTTGGAAAAGAGATATTGATAGGTAAAGTTAAATAAGAAAACTGGAAGTTATCTCCTCATTTGAAGTTGTGAGGTATATCTAAATTTATTGATTTAATTAAAAGTTTTATAGTTCACTTTTTAGTTTGGACCAATCAACTTTTAGACCTAATATTAAAACAATTATTAAGACCTTTGACGGTACAATTGATAAAAACATTAAGATTTTGAACAAAAATATTACCAAGCCAACTACAAAATAATTATATACAGGTGATTATTGTAATTGGGAGACAAGAATATGTATAGAATGAGTCTGATAATGCTAGATATTTATATCTGTTTGTATAGGCAAATCATGTCATTATATAATTTAAAAATTGTAAATAATTCTCAATGTCAAGTCAACAACTATCATATAAAAATAAATGGCTAAGATATATTGGAATCTCTAGTCATATTTCTTGCTTAGTAATTATAAATTAAAATCAATAATGCAGCCAAGATTAAATCAGTATAGAATATTAATAGGAGAGACGACATAATTTAGTAGAAATAAAGTAAATTTAGTTTTTTATTTTAAATTGGAAATGAAGATTTATTAAGTCACATGTATAATATTACCAATTAATAAATGAATTTTAAAAAATAACCAAAGTTCAGTCAGTTTTAGACCCCAATTTCACTGATTCTGAAATGTGTTCCCCAGGGCTGTGGAGTCGCGTAAAAATCTATCGACTCCAACTCCGACTTTTCCTTACCATCTGACTCCGTTTCATATACATAACAAGTTGGTAAGTAAAAAGGGAGTCGGAGTCGGCAGATTTTTTGACGACTCCAGCCAAAACACCAAAACTCCACAGCCCTGGTGTTCCCAGTTAAACTGTAAATGTTATGGTCAGCCTAGTTAAGGAGACCAAGAAAGAAGTCCAATAATTTTCAATTATACTAGGATATAAAATTTAAGCAATAAACAAAGCTTAATTGAAACTAGCTTGAAATTAAAATTATGCTTGGTGCCACCTGTTACGAGATGTTTTAAAAATATTGTAAATGCCAATAACCAGTAAAATTAAGTCCAATCTCTCAAAATATGATACATGCCATCCTCTCTCTCTCCAGCTTCCTCAGCCTTTAACCACCAAAATTTAATAGCACAATTGCCCTTTATATACAAGTTACCATGCTAAATTTCATTTCTTAATCTTTACCATATCCTGAGATATTAAATAAAATAAAAAAATACAAATATTTCCTTTTTTTATTGACTTTTTTGGATTCTGGTCTCAAAATATCAAGATTTACAAAAAAACTGGAGGGTCAAACATGAGATTACAATACTTTGTAACAGCTGGGAAAATAAAACCACTTAATATATTTACTCTCTATTTCTAGCATAACTATTAAGTCAAAGGTTTATAAAATTTTTGTTATGTTCTTAATTTTTTAATGTAATTGACCAGATTTTCCCTTACATTACATTATGATGCTGTATTGAAGGGATTAGATTGGATTGGATCAATGGTATAAGGAAACAACATATGGGCAATCTGACAAGGGGAGGGCCTCATAGGAAAACTTATGGGAAATTGTCCCCTATTGAGCTATTAGACACACGAAGAAAACTCCACACAGCTAGCCCATCGGTCAAGTGCAAATCTGGAACCGACAACCGGCATTCTACGGTGTTATCCATTAGGCCACTGGTGGATTCCGTAGCGAAAAAAATGCAATTAATTTTTTTTTCTGACTGCTTCAATCACACGATAAAGGCAGAAAAAAAAAAAAGACTAATTTTCACTACACATTCAAATAAATCATAAAAACAGTCAAATCTTAAAATTCACTTAAGTTCATTTAGCAGTCTTGTATGAAAATTGTAAGAATTTTCCTTTAAAAAAAAAGCAGCAATTTTTTAGAAGAGGAAGTATGAATATTTTTTCTTAGAATTAATCAAATGGAGATTTTTGAAAAGGGCAAAATAAATTACATAAAAAGAGAAGTGTGTGTTTGGCATTTAGACATCTTTTGCATTTATTCATATATTGCATTATTACTTTTCCTTTATTTTAAAAGCATTATACAATCCATATTTTTATTATTAGCTATCAGTACTTGAAAATTTTTCCTGTTGGTAGGCATCTTATATTAAATAAAATTTAAAAATAAGTGCAGTATTTTGTTATAACATACCTAATGACAATCTAACATTATAAAATTTTAATTAATAATCATATATATTTTTCTAGAAATCTTCCTCTCTAATTTAATTTTCAAGTTCTGTCAAAATTATTTGCTTACAAATATTCTACAGTTTTTAAAAGGTTAGAGTTATACCCACGGATTCCCGACCTTTTAAACCCTATACCGAGTTACGCAAGATTCCTCTCAGAAAACGATTGAGAGGAACCTTTAAAAATTGTAGGACCAATTTTTAGGGCATGCTTGGAGAATCCAGAAGGGAAGAGAAATAGGAACAAAGTATCTCGCATGTATTCTCAACCGTAAATATCTGATCACAAAACAACGGCCGCATTCGGCAGACCCAACAGTTCCGGAGCCGTCGAGTATTTTCTGCCGAATGCCCTTTACGGTAGTGCCATTTTGGAACACGTTGGGCACTTCATCACATTTAGTAGTGTCTTTCATTTACTCTAACTATCAGTACCCAAAAGTGACCGACACAGCCGATATCTTGATTTTTCCCCGTCCACTCTGATTTACATAAATAACTCGATTATTAATTACCTCACCTTGCAAAAAATGTATAAATGTCAATGAGACTGATTATAAACAAACTTATGAATAATTTAACCTTGACAAATTAATTTAAATAAAACAAGTTTAATCATTTAGCAAAAAATTTCCAAAAATTAGTAAAATTATTTTTGAAGTTTTAAAGTGTGCCTTTTAAAGTTATGAAAAAGGATTTATTCATGCAATAAATTTTCATAAATTGGCACGTCGGAAGGGGTCGTAAAGAACAACGCCCCCTGAAATTTAAAATAATAATAATAATGACGTAAAAGAAAAATTTGAATGTTTTTTTTCGGATAAAAAAATCTTTTTTATGCTTCCATTTTATGAAATTGATGCATTAATTAAATTCGTCTTTCAAACTTAAACGTACCTTAGTCAATTTGTTCATTTTTAACTTCAACGAACCAAACTTCTGATTTGCATTCATTTTAACGGCAGACATTCTTAAGCTCAGTCTGCCGGATCTCGAGTTATTTCTCTGTAAATTATTCGATTTGTACATCGTTTCGTTCCTCTTTTCTTCTTCCTTCTCGCTCCAACTTATATAATATCCATTATTTAACTTCCAATCGTCCGGATTTCGCTTGGAGACTCGAACTTGGTGTAAACGTCCGCCGTCCATTTCAAAAATTCAAACTCGTCTGCTAATCTCAAACCGGATCTTCGCCCTCTCTTGGAAAAACTAGGGGAAAAAAATCATCCTAATCTGAATAATTTTACAGAAATTTTTTGTTTTATTTTCAAACTATTGACTATATTAATATTTGTTTACGTATTTTTAAATATAATTTTTATTTTAATAAATATTATGTATATTTTAAACACAATTAAATTATTTTTTAAACAAATTGAGTCGTTAGAGGGGATGCGAATGAACTACGCCCCCTGAAATTTTTATATGTATACTTAAAAAAATTTAAATTTTTTAAAATTTTTCTGAGGGTGTCGGTATAATTTTTTTCGAATAATTTCCTTTTTTGGACAAAGAAATATCTAACGCCCAACGTTCAATGGAAAAATTCATATTGCTCTATTTCGGGATACGTAATGCAAAGTAGACGACCTTCCCACGGCTCCGACAAGGAAGTAAATAAAGAAAATAAAGAATTAAAATGCCGCCGCTTCGTGATATTAATTCGTATTTCACTATCTGACAATAATGTACGGAAGGTCATCCGGTGAAGGGTGTGGATGACCTCAACCGGACAAGTTTCTTGGAATGTCAAACCTTATGTTCCATCAAGGTTAATTGATTCCGATAATTGTATAAAAGAAGCGAGAACCGCTTTCGGATCATCGTTCAGATTCGAACTATCAATACAACAACACCAATAACCATGAAGGCAATGGTAAGTTCTTAAATATATACTACGTACTTTAGCAATGGTTTACCAGCAATGATCTTTACTCGTGTAAACTTTATATAGATCGCAGCTCTCCTCTTCGCCCTGGTGGCCACCACTTATGCCGGATACCTCGGAGGACTCGGCTATGGAGCCTATGGTGCCTATGGCCTCGGAGGTTTTGGAGGATTCCCCGTAGGACGTGCTGTTGCCTACAGTACAACCGTCCGTCACCCAGGTTACGGCTATGGTCTTGGCTATGGCTATGGACTCGGTCTTGGCTATGGATTAGGTTATGGTTATGGCGGACTCGGATATGGTGGCTATGGTGCCTATGGTCTCGGTCTTGGCCTCGGTCACGGAAAAATCTGGTAAATTCTTGAAATGGTAAGTTACTACTGCTAAACAAAAATATTTTTTTCATATTTATGGATACATTTGTTTCTAAAAGTACCCGTTTTTTCTTTTGCAGCTTTCCTCCCGGACTTAAACGATTCGAATGTACATAAAGCTAAATAGTAAAATAAATAAAAAATTTTCGGTTTAACTCATTTCAGCGTTTTCATTTCTTTTAATAAGGAAATAAACATTTCATAAAAGCAAAACACATTTTATGTAATCATAAATGAGCAAAAAATTTGACCTCCACGCGACTGCACGATAAACTTTCTACTCGTTTATCAGGTTCATTTTAACAAAGTAGTAAATATATATAATTTTTCTAGTATTTAATACTTCATAAAATAATTTTGATGATGATTTATTACAACCGTTGTGATTTATAATGATTTATTACAATCACTAGAGAAGTATGACTGGGCGCCATTTTGAATTTCTCTCTCCATAGATAAAATGGCGAAACTCTTTTCACTATTTTATTTTATAATAGTTGAATATATTTATTAAAGAAAAGAGTTGAGATTTTACTATTACACCTTAAATTTACTGCATTAAATTCAAAATGGCGACTGGTATTCAATTTTTTTCCAATTTGTATTGCTATTATCAAATACATTTTCTCTATCAGAATTATTATTTTTAATTAAAAAGTGCGGATTAATAAACGGAATATTAAATTTTAAGTGCTAAATAAATGATTGTATAAATATAGCGAATTCGAATCGCGCTTCCTTCAGGAAGATCCTAATTCAAATCATAAGCGAAATAAGCCTCTATGTCTTATTCTTTAATTGAAAGGAATTTAACTGCACTTTAAGTATGATGTTTTTTAATAAGTGAACAGCATAGGTTAAAAATACGAGTGTAGCAGCGACATTATATCCCTGGTAGTAAAAGAATGAATCATGTGTCCGCCAATGCAAAATATGCAAATTATAAATACATTTATTCTGAATTATACCTATTTAAAATTTTTATACCCTTATTATTATTAGATTTTTTTAAAACAAAATACGATAACATAATATACTTACAACAATATATATTTTTTTCAAAATAGTAAATATTCGAGGTCAGATTTTATAACGGCATTTCTCAATCGCTCTTGTCTTTCCGATTGCATAAAGGTATTCAGATAGCTGAAAATAATTGAAAATTACATAAGAATCAAGCGAATTTTTGTCTGTTATAATCAAAATTACTAACTTTTTAATGTAAATTTTAATTTAAACTCCATCCGCGTGTCTGTTACTTCACCGAATTAATAATAAGCTTGCCATATTTTATGTAAACAATAGACTTTCACTCATAATCTACTCACTCACCTTCCTCTGCTGCCATTATTTTATGTACAGTACACGCGGTTTCATCGATTATCGTGTAAATTTGCATAAATTAATAAAATAAATGTGTATAGTAAGTTAAATATGATAACATACTCTATCTTAATTAATTTCTATCAGTGTGAATCTGAGAATGCTTCTGATACATTGTTAACATCTGATTTGGGTCTCGCTCGCTCGATACAATGTAAACATTTGAGAAGTGACAGGGTGAGTGAAGCAATGAAGGTGATCCATTCTAATTTTTAATGCTAACGAGAAGTGTTTTAAATTCTCAATGATAGTAGTACAGCATTCGAAGGATCTTTCTAATATTCTTCTAGTCAGAGCTGCATTAACGTATGGATATATTAGATCATGGCCTGGACTTTATCTCATTGCTCATTATTGATACTTTTGTTCTGTCTTTATCTGTAAAAAATTGATCCGGGGTCTCAAAAGTGCTTAAAACAGCCATACTTCTAGTATTATAACATCTCTCTAGTGTTACTGGAGGAAAATAACAAGACATATATCAATGTTGTTTATAATTTGTTGGCATATTCAAGGGTTTCATAACGGTGCTTCGTGTTTCTAAATTTCAACAAGAATTATTGTTTGTTTGTTGTATTTTTTTTTTGTAGACGTATTTACTCTACTTCATAATCCAGCGAATAAATGATGAAAATGAATGGAATCTATAAATTCTTATTTTTAAAAAATGAGCACTTTTGTAACTGGTTTTAACTATGGAAAAGTATCAAGTTTTATTACAATAAGTTACGAATATTCATGAAAATCCTTGGAGAAGCTATGCCACTTTATAAACAAAGCTTATACTATCTCAATCATGCAAAACGAAACTTTTAGTACTATTTAATACGCTTTATTCTACTGTTATTCTTCCAAAATGTGTCGAGGTGATAATAGATAATATAAGGTAAATATCAACTTAACTGCTGATAATCTCGCCTTGACCATAGATTATTGAATTATATAAATAACAATCCGAAAATAAATAAATAAATAAAGCGATTAATAAAGGAATTTGTTAATTTATTTTCGAATTAATGGAACGGAGAAGAATGTTTAGTACTTTTCTTCTTATTTGCATGGCACCCACATTTGCAACGCGTGTGCAATCATGACTAACGAGAAAATTGTGTCGCTGACATACCTGAAAATTTTTATTAATGGTTATATCGACCTTAAACAAGTTTAAGAGAATATTAGGTTTTTATGGAGGGGGAGATAAATAGTTAATTTACAGTTACACGCTCCTTACACGAATGATAAAAACTATTCGTGTATAGATTCGATATGATCTCACGCTGTATGTAATTACGGCGATTACATTGGTTCTAATACGGTTTCTCCATACTGTTTGACAGTATTGTACTTCATCACACTTAACTAGCGAGATCGCTCGACCAGTTTTATGACAACTCATTATGTATTAACCTTGACCCGTTAGTAAGCGCATTTCCTTTATTCTACTGTTTAAATACATGATTAAGTCGCATTCGAAATTAGAATGGGCAAGTCTATATTAAGCAGTAATACATTCTTAAAAACAAGAGAAAATAAGAGCAGAATTTCTCGATAATAAGTAAAGGTGGAAAAAAAAAAAGTTAAAATGGCCGCATCGTGTTTCCTCCATGTTTAACAGAGCGACGAGACGAATGTTGCGCGGCCTTAAGCGATACGATTCTTTTAAAAATATGCTAATTATTTGCTTCCGCTTCCGTTTCCGGTTTCGATTTTAATTAGTAAAGCGTCAGTTTTTTCCGAGGTAACTTTTAGAAAGGGTCATTCATTTCACAGCTTTTCAACTCGATTTAAATCAGTTCAAATGACCTTATTTGCGTGGAATTTTGAGGAATTTCACGTCCGGTATTTAAAATTTTGAGTTATTCTGTTACTTATAATCAACTTCTCATCTTTTTTTATCAAATAATTTATTAATAGACACTTTCTCACTCCAAAATTGCAAGTTTTTCTTTAAGTTTTGAAGGAGAAATGGAATTGTTCTAGATACAAAGCCGAGTTTGGATATTTTGCAAAGTCTTCTACATTATTAAATGATTAGCTCCGGATGAAAAGATCAGAAGGGCTATTTTGACTAAGCTTCAGACGTAGAAGGCCTCCAAAATTTATTTAAATAGTGAGAAAGCAGATGGCCACTCTGCATCTTCTCTGACACTGCACGTCTTAACTGGGTGCTTGCTCCTCGTGTTCTTTATACTGTTTTCCCCTATATTTGTTTTATAGGTGCGAATTTAAGTATTGTCTTCGTTCATTACATATCATGGAAGCGATTTATAACAATTTCTTCACGTAAATCGTGATATTTTAATGCTTTTCATTAAAAATTCTTTTCGTAGCTAGGAGTGCCACAGAGCTACGAAGCGTGAAGAAATAGGGAATTTCTAAAGGAGATTAAGAACTAAAATTAATTTAATAAATGTATAATGTTAGAGGACGATTGCTAATGGAGTGAATAAATTGATAACGTCACGCTTTTTCTAACGACAGATTATATGGACACGATATGGAATGGGGTGATCGCTCGTAACTGTCTCCCAAGGTCGGTACAGATTCAAATAGGCCAAACTTGAATTTCGATTTAAGAATATTTACGATTTTTAAATGCTGACAACGTATAAAAAAATAAAATAATGCATAATGATTAGACGAATCTATGAAATCAATATTTAACTTTTCCAAATTTATAATTGATCTAACACCTGAGCTTTCGTAAAAACGATGGATTGTGCTACGTTTTTAGTAATTTGAATACATTCTTCTTGACTTCTAAAAGCAAAAAATGGAGTAGTTTTTACATTTTTTTGCCCTTTATGGCACAATTTTTTTCGCTAAATGAATAGGAAGAGGCTTAAAAGTTATAAATAATTTGAAAATTATACTAAATAAAAAGAGTCATACATCCATCATTCAGTAGCGCGTTATTCTATGGGCATAAAGGGCAATTGCTTGAGGTCCCAACCAACACGGGGTCCAAACCAATCTTATATAAACCCATTACTGCAGTAAGAATACCGAAATTTAAATTTGGCACCATATCTAGGGACCCTAGATTGCCGGTCTGGCTCAGGCGCAGCACAAAACTTAATCCTTTAGATGTCGGTTAAAAAACGAACGAGGATACCTGAGGATTCCCCCTAAAAAAAAGTCCCCCGAAGAAAAATATTTGAAGTTGACACTACACGAAGTCCCCTGATTCAAATTGCCTGGTCCCATAAAGCTATAACGAGCCACTGGAATCATCATTCAAATATTGGAGGAAGATTTTAAACTCTTCTAACATATAATTGAATTGTTTCCCTTCATTTTGTATTTAAAAAAAATTACAAATTTTACTTTTTTTGTATTTAGAAACGCAAATTTAAAAGATTTTATTAACAAAACGGAGGCTATTGGCTCTAACTTCAAGGAATTAAAAAATGTTTCCCTCAACCGGTAATTGCTCCAGTTCTTTCTACTTCACTTAAAATAAATCCCCCTTCAATAATAGAATGGCAAAAACAAAGGAATAAAAACTGGTTGGCAATGAATAACCGATATGGCACTGAGAGAGAACAAGGTCGTCCACAATTTTATCAATACTTTATACGTGTAATTCTATCATATTGTCTCTCTTGGGCGTGGATATTGTTTCTTTAAACAACTTTCCCGTCATAAGCCACTCGACCTTGATACTTTTAGTGCAACCTTTTCTAATTAAACCCTCCGATACGGCGCACGTGTCCTCGGATTTTAGGTATATAAAGTCCGACCAACTTTGCCACCACCAGAATCTGATAGAAACAGACTCGAATCACTTCTAAAACAATGAAATCCATGGTAAGAGCAATTTGCGGGTCTTCGAGAAACGGTAAAAAAGAAATCTTTGATTTAAGTGCCAAATTTAAGATTATTTTCTTTATTTTTTGACAGATCGCAATCGTTCTTTTCGCCCTCGTGGCCACATCCCTCGCCGGATACCTTGGAGGTTATGGTGGTTATGGTCTGGGATACGGAGGATATGGAGCATACGGATTTGGAGGATTCCCTGTAGGAAGAGCCGTAGCTTACAGCAGCAGCATCCGTCACCCAGGATACGGATATGGTCTCGGATACGGAGGATATGGTCTCGGATACGGTTTGGGATACGGAGGATATGGTCTCGGATACGGAGGCTATGGTCTCGGATATGGCTTGGGTCACTATGGTGGCTTTGGAAAATTCCATTAAAATGTATATATTTATAATGTATTTTTCGGATAGTCTGAACATTTTGTAAAAATAAAATTTTATTTTTTTTTAATCATCTAATTTTGTTTAGAATTATTGGAGTATTGAACTGGCGATCAGCGCGAGTTATCGCAAGATCGCGAAAAACATTGCGAGTTATCGCAAAAAAAAATCGCGAGTTATTTTGGGTGTACAAATTACAGAAATACTTTCGTTTTGAGTTCATTATTAATTAATAATCCCTCAAATCTACTACAAAAAAATCCATTTTTTTAATATCCCTAAGCGACTTTTAACCATTTCGAATGGGCTAAACTCGCAACTAAGTGGCTTAACACGAATAAAGGAAATTTAGATCGGGAACTTTGTCCCGATCTAAATTTTGATACAATTTTCTACACAAATAAACTGCTTTATATCATTTTTTAAAAAAATATATAATAAAATTACTCAAATTCAGGAAATTTTATTTCGAATAAAAATATGAGATAATAAATATTTTCAGTCTCTTATCTTTAGAGATAAGTCGCCCCCTTCTTCTTTCTCTTATTCTCCTCTTCCTTTCTCTGAAATATCTCTCACTTTTCTTATCCCTACTTTCTCTTCATCTCTCCGAAATAATTTATCTCCCTCACACCCGCTTTTCCTCATTTTCTTTCCTCCCTCTAAAATATTTCGCTTTTACACTCCTTATAGGCTATCTAATATATCTCCCTCTCACTCATCTTTTCCTCATCTTCTCTTCCTCTTCCCAGACTATCCTCTCTCTCTCGCTTCCTTTTTTGTCTCGAAGAAAGATATTCAAATAACATTGACATTAGTTCACTACATAATTTTTATATTATCAACATTTTTCGCTAACGAATGCAACATTCCAAAGAATATTAAGTGATAAATAAATAATCGATCATCATTTAAATTCTAAAAAAAGCTTTGTTTATTGTCTATTAGAATGTTACCTTACTATAGAACTGGTTAAAATCAGTTTGGAAATAAAAATAATCGTAAGAATAATAACTTTATAAAAAGATAGCAGTTGCAACTTTATAATGGGGCAAGATAGGTATATAAATTTGTGTTATTGACAATGTATAAATTGGAATTCGCTATTAACTCAAAGAAATACAAGTCCAAAAATTTATTTAATATTATAACAACGAAATTCGAGTTAAAAGACATATATATAAATAAAGAAAATGTAAACAAAAATTAATTACAAAAAAATCAAACAGATAATAATTGAAAACATCCTAATGCAAGTTAAGAGACATATATATAAATAAAGAAAATGTAAACAAAAATTAATTACAAAAAAGTCAAACAGATAATAATTGAAAACATCCTAATGCAAGTTAAGAGCAATATAAATGAATTAGTGAACTTTCACACTTGCAGCACATAATCCACTTTTCCTGAGTAATTCCATATTGTTCATTGAAATATAAGAATAAGTATTTTCATCGTCATTTTCCAGTTCTTTAGAACTTTTCTGCCCCTTTCATTTAGTGAACTTCGAATCCAATTTCTCCAAATCCATTGCCCTTCTGCAAGTTCCTGATTTTTTAACTTTAGCCTTGGCTTTTAGTATGGCTCTGTATGAGGATCCAGTTATTTCTTCTGCTTGTTGTTTATTGTTTTCGACCACATCAAACCATAGCAAAACACGAACAGGAACAAGATCGGCAACACTGCCGAAGATGCCCCAATAGTCACGATTTAGAAACATTAAGTGGGATCCTGAGAATAGGATACCAAGTCATGATCTGGCCACGCGAATAAGTTAATGTTTTATCCTTCTAACAGGAAAAATAACTTCCGTTATTATGGAATTATAACAAAACATACCAATTTTATATAAATGAAAGCAAAATATTATAAGAAATTGAATGAAACAGACATAATCTCGAGAACGGAGTTATATAGAGACCGGATATAGAAAGCTTAGAGGCAGGACTTATAACTATAACTTATATACAAATTTCCGGTTTGGATCGGAAGTCACGTGTGTTTTTCTAAATTAAAAATATGATTAAAAATTGCAGCACGACGTCACAATTGATTGCTCGTTGTAATTAAATAATCGTTTATAAATGAATTTTTATTAATAAATAAATAAAATATTTATTTTTAAATATTTAAATAGCCATACCTTGAAATGAATAAAATTACAGGATATGCATTCATTTTTTTTAAAGAATTTTTTCTTACTCGTCCTTACGTTTTAAGATTAAAATAGGGAAAGGGTACGCAATTTCAACCTAAACTAAACACATTAATTTTAAAATATATCAATTAACGATTCTTAAAATATGAATAAAAAATAAATAAATTTACCTTTCCTCAATTACGATAAATAAAAAACCTCATTTAATTGTATAGGGTGGCCCATAAATCAGTTAATCTGTGTAAAAATGAACACCTTACATACGATTTTATGGGAAAAAACCCGTTGTTCTAAGTTTAATTTACTGTAAATATTCACGAATGGATATGAATGTGGTTAACTGAATTTCGGGCTACCCCGTAATACGCGAAAAACCCATTCAACGCTTACTAAAAGTGATTGCGATGCCTTCCACGATTAAAATTATCCACAGTACCGTAATTAATCGTGGGGAAGCATCAAAATACCCCGATATAAAGGTACTGGATCATATTAAGCGCTGTATCGAGAGTTAAGGTTCGGGATTATCTCCTTATCCTTAAACTTCAGCAAAATGAATATAGAACCACTATTAATAACTGCCTTTTTTGTTACAATGAGAACCTTTTAATGTCCATAGGTTTTCCTTTCGTGTAGTAATCAGAACAGGTTTATTTTCCCAAGACAATTTCCGTTTTTATGAATTGTTAACCTTGATACCAATAAGAGCTAGCTTCTCGCTGGTATAGAACTAACCTTGAAGAATAATATAAAAAGCCCTCTAAGTTCCTACCCTCTTCAGTTCTGATTCCAGACAGAAACTCGTAACAAACATGAAGACCATCGTAAGTGATTTTTCAGTTTATTCCACCAACCTGTCGTTCGCGATCCCCGTTTCTCGTTTACGGGAGATCGTCGATTAGTAAGGTTGGGAGACATTGTTTTAGACGTTAATTCTGGCTTGGAATTAAGAAATAATGGAATTTTCTTAATATTTTTAGGTTGCCATTTTATTTTTGGCTCTGGCAGCCGTCGCTTCTGCAGGATACCTTGGATACGCAGGACCTTTCGGCCCTACTAGCACCGTAGTATACAGTTCAAGCGCATACGGACACGGTCCCTACGGATACGGAGGATTCGGATACGGATATGGACCTTACGGATATGGTGGATACGGATTAGGCTATCGTGGTTACTATGGCTACGGATTAGGACACGGATATTACGGATTGGGCTTCGGCCACGGAAAATATTTCTAAGAAATATGTATATTTGTGTCTGAAACTTTCCTTATATAAAGTACTTTCGGACATTTGTATATTAAATTAACTCTTCTCCTCCTGTAAAAATTCCTATGTAAAAATTAAAATTATACACATTATTTTCTTTTTTAATTTAAAAAATGTTTTTGCCTCTTGTTTTACGTAAATATTTTTATATTTTTACAACAAAATTCCTTTCGGGGCCATGCCATCACATGGTATGTGATGATGCACGCACATAACCATGCCACGTTATGGAGAGAGATAAATATGTTAATTAGGTTATTTTTCTTATTTGAAAACATAAGAGAATTGTTGGGGATAAGCCTTAACAGAATTAAGGCTTATCCCCCAACAATTATCTTATGTTTTCAAACAAGAAAAATGCACTCTTGTCAAATCGCGTGGAGAAAGTTTGGCATACTGTCGCACATACCTACATACGAGTAGAGGTAAAGCAATCAGGCAATGGGAGATTTACGGCCATTCATTCAACTGCTGTCTGCAACTGGCTCAACACGCAGGATATGTGACCTGACTGGTCATTTAATTGCTTTGGTTGGTGCGACAGCGATTTGATTGGTGAAACGTTAAATTTACTCAACTACTCTAGCACATTTATGAACTAACTAGGCATCAATATTGTGTGTAATTGCCATAACGGCGTGCTTCATTTGAATGCATTTTACACTAATTTTTTTTAATAAATTAGTTTATTTTACTATAAACATCTCAGTAGTTCTAATGCATAATATGCAGACGTCTAATGCTAGAAAGATCTCTGCACCATATAGCCTAAATGTTAAAGTGTAAAGTAAGCGAGAATACTTTAAGAATTAGCCTTCAAAATAAAGTTTCCCAACCATATTAATTGCTTAGAAGGGTTGGAAAAACGTTATATTAGAGGTTATATGCCTGAAATATATGTGTATAAGTTATATATCTCTGACGTACTGTAATCTTTCAACCTGATCGATGTCTGGAGAGATAAGAGGGGGGTTCAGTCAAAAACGTGAGACCTCATTTTTCTCTCCCAAACCATAAATATTAATATAAATCAGACTTTTTCATCATCTATATAATGAAACTTCGTTATCATATTTACATTATATTATATTTTTGAGGCCCAAGCAAAAGACAATGCTTCATCTATCTGATTATGTTTCTGAGCTATGATACTCCAGCTGATAGAATGTTTGAAGTAGGCATGAGAAATAAAAATGTAGGTCTACGCAAATACCATATTATAAACTTAAATAGTAACTTTATAAAAATAAATTAACAGCGTAACCACACTACGCAGAACCTCGCAATACAGGTAGGCCCACAGGTCTAAGGGCCTGAAAATTACAGTTACGTCACAGAGGTTAAACACGATTAAATTTTCCTTATAAGAGAGGAATTAAAAGAACCGAATTAGCGCGTCATTCTGGAGGCTTTAATGGCTCGTTATTGGCAGTGAAATATGTTTATGCTTTAAATATAGAAAATATATAAAGTACTTACCACATTGAATCAAATTTTTCAATACTAATTGAAGTTATTGGAATACAGTACTTGAAAGCGAGTGCAGAATTAAAAGGTGTAGCGTGATTATAATAAATCATATCGTTAATAATCCACACGCTTTTTAGCTTGTAACTATGTGCCTTCAAGTAGAACATTGCTCAATTTAAAAAATTAATTTTCTCTTTTAAAAAATATGTAAAATTTATTTTCTACGTGAAATCCATAATCTTAATGGCTCCTCTTCGAAGAGTAAAGGCTTTCATTAACAAATACACGAAGATCTTAACTAAGAGATAAATTTTCATCTCTAACTCTTCGTGTATCTTCTGAGTTTCCGCATCTAAAACTCGTTAACTATAACTACTTTCCTCCATTTTAATCCATAAAAATTGCATAAAAAGTAAGCGCAATTAAGAAAAACAACACTACTATAATTATACTTATTTTTTTTTATTTACAAAATTCAAATTCCATAAAAAAAACAATTGAAAAAGTATATAATTTTTGGTTTGCAATGACTGTATAGGAGTATTTGTTGATACTTCGCTGGTCTACCAGAATTTTCCGTAACCTCCGTAACCACCGTATCCTCCGTAGCCACCGTATCCTCCGTAACCTCCGTATCCGAAACCTCCGAGTCCGTATCCGAGTCCGTATCCGTGTCCGTAATAATGAGGATGCTTGATGTGGGTGCTATAAGCCACAGCACGACCTACGGGATGGCCATATCCGTATCCTCCATATCCGCCATAACCTCCGTAACCTCCGTAACCTCCATAACCTCCATAACCACCACCATATCCACCGTATCCTCCGTAATGTCCGAGGAAGCCAGCAAAAGTAGTTGCCAAGATGGCGAAGAGGAGAGCAACCACCTGAAAGTATGGACAAAATGAATTTAAAATTTCCAAAATTTCATAAATTAGGGATGTAGAAAGATACTTACGAAAGTTTTCATTGTTGGAAGTAGTTGTTTTGGTTCGAGTGAGTGAGCGAATCTGTTCAATTCAAAACTTTGGAGGGTTTATATACTTATAACAAAGACCTTGATGCCATGACTAAACTTTTGGTGTCGTGGCACTGCGGATACCAAGGCTTACAAAAATTAGCAATAAATAGTAGTAAAATATTCGGGTATGGTACATTAAATTAGTAAATATAAATCTCCGTCAGTGAAGGTCCTTTGTGGTTTTTTTTTAATTGAATTTTTTTATTATCGTGCCTGGCGATAACAGAACAGTTGGACGATTTTCCTTGAAGGCATTTACTTAGAAGAATGGTGTATACAATTCATTAACTTTACTGGGAATTAAGGGGAAGGATATAAAAAAATCGATCACGCTCTAAATATAATGGAATTTTATCACTTTTAATTTTCGGCTTTCTATCTAACTAAATCAATAAACTATTCTTATGAGTTTTTATTTAATTCATGCATAAAATTTATAGAAACAATTAAAATAAATGAACCCCTCTTAAAATTCAATTACGTTTTTCTATAGTTTCAACGAAACTTAGCTACATTAATTATTTTTTTGCACATCGTGCTGTATTATGATTTTTAAATCGTTCACGAGCATCTCTTCATTAGATCTATTCGTGAATAAGTCGTTCAATATGACATATAATACAACACGAGACATAATATCTGTTCGTGCAAGCTGTGCACACTGGAAAAAACTCAAATACATCCGCCATATTGATATTTAAATGGTATAAACTTCCGTTTCCGGTTTTAAAATCACTTTTTATATAAATTATAAACGATATCACGTACTTAAATAGATAATTTTTTAGTTTATTAACCTCTAAAACTAAAGGTTAATTTTAAAATAAAAGTTATAAAAACTAGTTTCAAGGATTTAAAAAAAAAACTTCTTTTATCTATTATAATATTAATTAGTTTCTATAGATTTTTATTGTTTAACATGTACTGTACGTTGTGCCGAAGCTGGCTGGCATTCAGGGGATGTATAATGGTTACGCACTTGAATTATACGCTTGATAAAAGTACAGTATTATTAATGCGCGTATTGCGTACGTTTATTTAAAAACGAATTTTGGGAGTAAAAGGTAATTTTATTTCAATTAAACATATGTAATTACATCAAAAATATGGTTCTATGAGCGTGCTCTAAAAACTCTCTCTCGTCATTCCTTTTACACCCGAAATTCCATAGAAAAACTTGCGTAATAACGCATTAAGGGGATAGAGGTGCCACATTTTCTCCTAGTGGCTGAACTTTGAAGTAAAATTTTTTCTCTAGAAATATCGTTGAGATTTGTCTAATAGTTCTTTCTAACCGAGAGAGCTCCGAACACCCATTTTAATTACGATAAGCCTATAATTTGCACCGAAAACTTCTCAAAATTTAAATATAATTGAGCAGATTGACTAAGTGAGAATAGGAATATACACACAAACACACAGTTGAGAATCCATTATCCATATATAAATCATATAGAGCGCCTGTATAAAAACTATTAAATGACCTTTTATAAATGACAGGGTGTTAAATGAAAGATCATATTCACTAAAAACCATTTAAATGAAATCTCGTATATCAAACAAACGTATTTATTTTGAGAAAATTTCGAAAAATATTATTTTAAAATAACGTAAAAAATTAAATTATTAATATATATAATACCTTATATTTTCATTAATAGAAGAGTGTAAAAAAGTGGTACTTAAAAACTAATTAATTTTATTATCGACAGATGGCGCAGGTGGAGGATTTTTTTATCCTGTTTTGTTACCTTGTGAAATATAGACACGTGCTACGACTATTATTAAAATTTTATATTAAAATATACAAAATTATTTTTCTAAATAATCAAATTAATACAGTAAATTAAATTTTCTGTAAATACAGTAACATCTCACTTGTATGGTTACCTTGGGGTATATAATATATATAAAGCAGAGTACAAATACAGATATACCTGTACAAATACTGGTATATATGAACTTGTGGATGTAAAAAACTGACAGTTCTATCATCTATACGTTCATGCATACCGGTTCTGTACGTAAGAAGATGGTTAGTTGACATACAGATTATAATATTAATACTCCACATAATATTTTCATAATGTATTAACACTGAGCATTAGAATATTAAAGTGCAGGGTACTGTACTGTACATACAATGTATGCAAGTTGTTTGTAGTAAGGTTCATTTAAGTACAGTACAGTACTAAATGGAATTGTTTAGTACCCACATACGGAATCAACGTGTTTATGAAACGTAAAGGTTTTATTTAAAATACCGTGTCCAAGTGTCAAAAACGTTTCAATAATTAAACCAGTTTTTACATCAGCTTTATTGATACTTTTTTGTTGAGTGTTGCGAGTGACTTACCAATTACGTAGACCGATCATCACTGCTTTACATAGTTATACAATCAGCTCTTTATTGAGCAAATACAGTATATAATTGTCTTTTTTTTACTAAATTTTGGAAATCTTCATCTATACTCGACAAATTACATTTATTTGAACGTCATATTTCGGATGGATCTCGGCAAACTTCCAAAGTGTAGCAACAATACTCCATACCGTTTAGATACTTTAACAATTAGATTGGGTTTAGGAACGTGGTGTTTTCTTGTTGTATTGGCCACTTTAAACGGGTTGAACGGAGATAAGTGTCCCTGTCTTGGCTACTAAGTGAGGTGACCACCAGGTGTGACAAAAGAGGTTTTACTGTATTAATTCTGACGTATATGTTTATATTTAAAGTCGATACAAATTTTATTATACGTATGAACTCAACTAAAGTCGTCACTAAAGAAAAATTTTCAAATTGCTATTTCTCACGTGCGCCGACTCCATCCCACTAAAACGCGGGCGCGGACATCTTCTTACATACGGGAATGGAGAATCGAAAATCACCCGATTGCTTTATTCGAAGGAAGTAAAAAAAAAGTACAAGTTATTTTAGGTGTCATTTTGTTATCCACCTATCTATATACAGTATTTAAAATGAACAAAATCACTTCGCACCATTTCCACTGATCAAATTTGGCATACGAGGTCATATATTAAACCTTACGGCCTCTAGATGGGCAGAAAACTCTAAACATTTGAATATATTTCGACTTGATCGAATTATTAACGATTTCAGCGATTTTCGATCGGTCATGTCATTAGTAACACTACACGCGGTCCATTATTAGGTCTACAATCTTTTGCATTATACAGTAAATTCCTGTGCTAATTTTTTTTTCGAATATTTTAAATGAAATAGTTGATTAAAACAGGATTTAAAACTTTAGACATGACATAACTTATAAATATACAACAGATGAAAAACAAAGCAATAAATGGTGAAAACTGTGAAAATCACTTGTTAAAACACCGAAAGTAAGTTGAATAGTTATTTAAAATAGATATTTAGAAAAACACTAAGCCTTGTGAGTCGTTATGTTGTCACAACAATGTAGATATTGCAGACCACGTGCGCTGGTACTTGTGACCACCATTATTTAATTCAGTAGTTAAAAACTTTATACGTCGAAATAAGGTCATCTTCCACCCGTTAAAGTAAAATATATAATAAATCCAATATTTTTAATACTTTGCTTACGTCAAAATGAAGTACGTGACAAAACGTATACGTTTCCATACAATCATATAAACGTTATAGCCTAAATGTATTTAAAGCTCTATAGTGTTTCTGAAATATATACACATTAAGACGCACAGTGCAAAATATTCTAATAAATAGACCATGTGACCCATCAAAAATCGCCAAAATCCATAAGAATCCGATCGAGTCGCAATATTCAAAATTTTAATATCAATAGGATATGTCCGTTACTCGCCACTCCCATTGTGGATCCGACCGCATCCACGAAAGGCCCTCTTAGTGCCGCGGAGCGAAAAGAGCAAGAGGGCCTTTTAATCAAGCAATTCGATTTCTATTATTAATCGTTTAAATAACGATTCAGGTTTAAAATAAGCACAAATACATGTATTTTGTATGTACGAATCATAAGATTTATTACTGTTATATTTTCTGATAAAAGAATTTTGCTTATTTAAAATGGATTTTTGCATTTACTAATCGATCAAAAGTCTTTCGTTTTGTGCTGGATTTTCCGTCGTGGTACTTCGAGTCACTCTGTAAGACTCTTTTGATACTAAATGAGAACTCGGCATAATTTTGAAAGGAGATACCTTTTCGGCGGATGACGTGTGGAAGGCTGACGTATCCTTCAACCACGGCACGTCGTATTGATAAAGATTTGAACGTGGCCTCGTGTGTCGATTCAAACATTCCGTATCTAACCGTAACGACTTTTCCTTTCTCGTTAAGTCTTCTTCCACTCGATGTAGATGCGCTTGAAGTTGATTCAAAATTAATCTGCGAATATATTAAATAAATTCCTATTATATTTTTATTCTTGTAATTTGCAAAGTATTACTTTGGCTGCATAATTTGATAGTAACCTGATTTAAAATTGCGTATTGAACGATTACAGATTTTTCAATGAAAATAATCAGTCTTCAAATGAACGTAACGTGTTATCTAATTAAACAGGAGGAAAATTGATCAATGTGTTTGAGTACACATTGATGAAGGAAAATTTTAATGCGTATTATAAAATTTGTAAACTAAGAATATGTTCTAAGAACCTTGGCACAATCACTAGATGCTGAACTTTCTAACCAAATAGACAATTAGAATTTGTACTGTTCATGAACCTTTAAGATTCGAATTGAACTTGTAAATTTTATTAAATTTAAGTTATTAATGAAAAAGTTCGTACCTGGCATTATTTAATTCCTTCTCCAGTTCTTCTTTCGCTTTATTTAACTGCGCATATTCTTCTCTCAGTCCCCAAAACACACGATCGGCAACTAATTCCATTCTTGGTCTCCATTTTCTATCATCTAAGCGCGTATGATTTAATTTTAAAGGATTCCTAATGGCTCGAATTTGTCTTTCTATATTCTGAATTTCTTTCATCATCCTTACGATCTCGTCAATAAGCTAAATTATATATATATTTCATAAATATATTATAAATCATAAACTTTAATGTTAACATACGCTTACGTTATTTTTCTGATAAGCTAAATTATCCCTAGCTTGTTGGGTTTCGTGTATCCGTTGACGAAAGGCATATTGAGTCGCTTCTCTTTGTTGAAACAGAAGATTGTTCGTGTCCCTAATTGTTCTCCAACAATTAATGATTAGTGTTCTAGCTGCGGCTGTAATTTCCTCTCCCTTCGTACAATTTCGAACTAAATGATCGAACCATTGCTGTACCTCAACAATTCTAAACATGAATAAAATTAAATTCTGAATGTTCCACTTTATTGTAAACGTGTTATTCTGAAGTACCAGAAGTAAATAAAGACAAATTATAAGGTTAATTTTAATAACCTACCCTGGAGGGATATCCAAAGGCCTGGATTTATAACTAATATCATCTACACATTCAGGTTGTAAGAGTTTCAAACGACGATCTGCAGCTAAAGTATAGGATTTGTCTTTCATGTCATTATACAAAATATCTCTGACCTCTTTCAATTTGCATAACTGTTCCCAGCACTCGTGGCTCTTATTTCTCATTTTACAACCTATTTCATCAAAGAGTTTTAGTTCCTAAAACGAATCCAAATTATTATTTAAATTGTTTTGTGAAACGGTGAATATAAATAATAATTATTAACTCACGCATGATAAATTTTCTTGGACTTGATCGTCAGTTAAATCGATACCATCACGTTGGTCTCTCATCCTGATCATTTCTTCAGTGGCCTCTAAGTAAGGAACTTTTTCCACTAACGCTCTTTCTATATTTAATTTGGCATCTCTTAAGATTTCAGTTTCTTTTTCTACATCTCTAATCGTTTTTTCCAAGTTTTTATATAAGATTCTGCGACCGCATCGATGACGATCTACATCATCGATGCGGTCGCAGAATCTCAGATTAGAATCCTAATGGCATCATTCGAATATAATTAACTTAGAAAAGTATAACACATATCAAAATATTAATCAAAAATATATCCTTGTTTACCAGTATTTAATATATATAACCTATATATATATATACACCAATCCAATATTAATATAAGAAGTAGATTTCCAAATTGACAGAAAGATAGAGATAAAATACAAGCGATGAAATAAAAATGTCGAGGAGAATGAAAGGAAGAAAGTAGAAGGAAAGGAACAAGGAATGGAGGGATTAAGAACAGCAGCCTGTAAAATTCCTTGTAAAATGTAACCAATCTGAAGAATAGAAAAGCATTTAAATTTACAAAATTTAAGAAAATTCTTCATTTATCGAATAGAAAAGCGTGTTTATGACGATTGTACAGAGGCATATTTATATTTATAAATGTGAATTATTCGAATGAGTGGAAGAATATGGAAAGAATACAAAGAAAACATCACGAAATGATAATTGTGGAAAGACGTATGAAGAGATGAAGAAAGCAAGAGGGATTTGGGAGAGATAGGAAAGGGTGGAATAAGATGTTGGAACGGGAGGAAGACGATAATGATAAGAACGAATATTAATAATTACCTGCAGTTTCCACCATTCTATTTTATTTTGAGCTTCGTGTCTTAGTTGTAAGCTGTATTGCCTCAATGCAGTGGACTTTGCAATCATATCCCTGCTGATTTTCTCTAAGTCTAAATTGTGCAAGTTCCAGTCGTCTAGAGTGTAATAAATCGTCGGCTTATTTGTTGCGGTAGGAAACATTGTTTACAACGAAGACGATTTCTAATCGCGAAGAACAAACTAAATTTTTCTACAATCAAGAAAATAATCGAAAAATCGAATTTTTATATTGTTGCTATGGTGATTGTGTCGAAAGAATTGTGTTAATGACGAAAGGAAAAAAATTGTTATTATTATTCATTTATATTTATATAAATAATGTATTTTAAAGTTTATTTTCTAGTTTTAATATTTGAAATGTATATATATAAATTTTAATTGTAAAATTTCCAAGTTTTATGACATTTAAACTATACGAAGCGACAGAAAAATTTCATATTTTCTACTTCAATTTTTTTATATTTATAATTTTTTATAATACCTTTTATTAATTATTATTTAGTAGAAATTAATAAAAAAAAAAAATAATTTTGAAAATTTGTACAAGAATATTTTGGAGAATTTTTTTTTATTTGGAATTTTATAGAGGGCGATTTTGTTCCCTCGATTTAAAATATCAAACTTGTTTTTATAAACATAAACAACTTTGATATTTTTTTGTATTTATAAAGAATATAAAATTGAATATTAAAAAAATGAGAATGGGTTTTTTTATTTCTTAAAATAAAGAATATTTTATTTATATTTATTAAGTATGATCATAATTCCGAACAGAAGGATCGTATATGGAGTGAAGCTCATCTATACAACCTAGTGTTATAAAACCTGTAGAACGAACTTTCCTATTATAAAGAGTTTATTATTAATAGAGCTTTTTTATAAGGTTCTCCACAAAACTATAGATCCACTGCAAATTTACTATACGAAGGTTAGGAATTACACATACGATGTAGCTAGCTACCTTTCATATATTGTTCGGGATTTATGAAAACATAATTTGTCGATACTCAATAGTTTCCTATGTCACAGAAAACAAGCAGAAATTGTAAAAATACTGATTTTAAGCACCACAAAAGTATAGAATCGACTAGAGCATTAAATACTACAGAACAGTTTAATTTAGTAATTTATTTGCGCACTTCCTTTACTAATAACATCGTAAATGCGATTTGGCATGCTATCAACAAGGTTTTCTTTTTATGATCGATGCCTCAAGGGAGCTCCAAGCAGTGACAATTACTTGTTTTAAGTGTTTAAAGTCTACATACTGCCGATTTTTGTCATAAATTCGGCCAACTAAAACTCCCAATAGGATTGCAATCGGGAGAACGAACTGGGCAATCCGTTTATTTTCAAACCACTGTTTCGTATCTCGTGATACATGAGTAGATGTGTTGTCCTGTTAGAAAATAACAGGAATTCTTCTGGATCTACGTTTGTATGGCAGCAATTTGTTCTTCAGAACTTGTTGATAGTCGGCACTGATCATGCGACAGGTAACGAATGCCAAATCCAATTTTTCCAATGCAGAAAAAGCACCCCAAACCGTAGCCTAACACTTCCACCACCGAAATTCCTTCGCGAAAAGTACTTGGGCTTTTTTCGTAAATACGCCAATAGAAGGATAAACCATTTGGTCCAACCAAATTAATTTTTTTTCTCGGCCGAAAAGATTACCTATACGACAAAAAGATTATTTCTTGTGCTAGCACGATAAGTCTAAACGAAACAAAAAAATTTACCTTATTCCATTGAGTGGCCATATTTTTCCTAGCAAAATCGAGCTGGGCAGCTTTGTGCTCGGGCTTAAGAGCAGGGGCACTTCTCATTCGAAATCGAACAATGTTGTTGTTGTTGTGTAAAACCCTTCAAATGATTTCGTGATATACTGTACTTGAATACCTAAATCGTCCCAATTTGAGGCTTCATTAACAATTCGTTTGCGGTCTCGCGGGGTAAGTTTTGAAGGACGTTCACTTCTACGCTTTGGTCCATAATTTACAGGATTTGACAAATAATGCCGAACTACTTTTTTCGAATTCTTGATGCTGTTTGTTACTGCCTGATGACTTAAACCAATGCTTCTCAAAGCTACAATTTGTCCTTTCTCAAAGTCTGTTAAATGGGTACCACGAGGCATGATGGAAAAAAAATACTTTCACATTTGAAACTTGCGAGAAAGATGGCGGTTCTGTACTTATGTGGCAGTACAGTACGTAAATTGTCTTCATTGCTTGACTTGAATGCTATTCCGCATCCAGCCACGAATTAGAAGCTGAAGTTTCCTAAAATTATGTTTTTATAAGTTAGGTGCTGAAGTACGTGTAAAAATCTATATCTATCTATTAGGGCAGACGCGAATTTAGTAGCGAGCAATATAGTTCTCGCAATGCACAAGCGAAAAGCGAGAAATATCGCTGGCGGGAGCGAATNGGACGTTCACTTCTACGCTTTGGTCCATAATTTACAGGATTTGACAAATAATGCCGAACTACTTTTTTCGAATTCTTGATGCTGTTTGCTACTGCCTGATGACTTAAACCAATGCTTCTCAAAGCTACAATTTGTCCTTTCTCAAAGTCTGTTAAATGGGTACGACGAGGCATGATGGAAAAAAATACTTTCATATTTGAAACTTGCGAGAAAGATGGTGGTTCTATACTTATGTGGCAGTATGTAAATTGTCTTCATTGCTTGACTTGATTGCTATTCCGCATCCAGCCACGAATTAGAAGCTCGAGTTTCCTAAAATTATGTTTTTATAAGTTAGGTGCTGAATTACGTGTAAAAAATCGATATCTATCTATTAGGGCAGACGCGAATTTAGTAGCGAGCAATATAGTTCTCGCAATGCACAGGCGAAAAGCGAGAAATATCGCTGGCGGGAGCGAATTTCTGGTTCTTGCACATATCTGGCAGGGTTTGCGTCTCGCCTCTTCTCGTCACATATTCTCGCTCGCTCGTATCTGCATAGTCGCATCCTTGGTGCATGTTCTAACCTCAAAAGATCAATTTTCACCTTATCCATCAGTTTTGGTTTAACTATAAACAATTATTAGGTTAATAACAGTTTTAGATTGTGTGAAGTCATAGAGCAGCGTGGATTTTCGAGATACAGTAGTACCTTTCATATAATTAAACTTATATAATGTAAAACCTCCTATCACAGGTACTTGATTATGATATTTTATTATTAAAAACATTTTATATTTTTGATTATTACAAAATGGCAAAAAGCTTAATTTTGAGGTAGAGGTAGATTTTATAAAAAAAAAATGTAAATACAGTAGACCCCTATAACACTGTAGATAATTCCGTGTTATATGAATTGCATATTGTACGAGTCAACAAATACGTGAGCCGTTCACAGCCCGGCACACGTATTTGTAAAATCTAAGTGACTCGTACAACATGAAATTCATATAACACGGAATTATCTACAGTGTTATAGGGGTCTACTATACTAATAACGAATAAAATCATTATTAAGCCCGACTCTACCCGAAATATGACACACGATCTCCCCATCTCTTCGACCTTTAATTACCAAAATTTAATAGCATTAATCCTCCTAATACATGAACCTCCCTGCCAAATTTCAGAAATTTTCGACATAAAACACAATGTTATTAAGCTTCAAAGAAGGTGAACGAAACCGTGTCACGCACACACACTAAAGGCTGGTATACACGGTAAGGAAATCCTCAAAGGATGTGCTTAAAAGACGAAAAAAACTCGGATATAAGTGGCTGGATTGAACATAGCAATTTACAAAACTTATTAAAATATCTCCCAATGTATAAAGAATTATTTTTATTTAAAAATGGATAGATAGAAAAAAAAATCACGGTTAATCCTCAAAGGATTTCCTTACCGTGTATACCAGCCTTAACATACATACATACAGAAATTATCCCCGAACTTTTATACGTTTCTCGACGTTTTAAAGTCCCCCCAGTCCAAAAATATAAAAATCGTGGAGGGTCATTTTTCCAACGATCGCCATACTTTTCCTCTGTTATATATACTATAACATTCCTCTGTTATATATACTATAAAGTGTTCTGTTATAACACATAAATGCGGTGATAAATATTTTTATATTTTTTGGAACTTAAATTTTCTCCTCTTTAGCTTAATGCATTTATCTTTAGCTCAAATTGTTAATAATACTAGCATCAAGAACGGAAATTTCGGCATTTTTATTATGTAGATCTACAGTCTGTAGGCTTATTGTTATTAAGAAATTTAATAAGAAATTCATTTAATACATATTTTCATTGAGTCTTACGTGGCTATTTATATAAATTATAGCCTTTTAATGCTTATTTTTGATCTTCCATTAATATCTACGGTTACTAGAATTATATACATCACAATAAACTTCCAATATCACTTCAGATCATAGTAGAAATACTCTCATATAGCCAATTAAATGCGACGAATTTGTGATATTTTTCATTATTTATAAATGAAAATTTCTGACAAAATACCTTAAATGATCCAGTCATTATTTACCATTAATTTTATTAAAAGTTGCGTGATTAACCCTCTAGAACGGACTCTAAACTCGTCGTTAATAAAATAAAATTTACGAATTTTTATATAAAACTAGAAATTATGTAATGTTTTATTGACGTAGACGTACGTCGAAGATTAAATTTTTGTTTAAGGAGTAATTTATCCATTTATTTATAGGAACTCGGAGGCACTAAAAAGAAAGATGAAGATTTTCGGAACGTGTAGTTGACACCAAACTAAAATAGTAAGAGAGGAGCAATTATCGTCTCGAGAGCTTACAAAAGAATTTTTTCTTTGGCTATGATCCTATAATAAAGAATTATTTATATTAACAATTACAGGCCTTTGTATACGTTAAATCACGTTAATTACTCCGTTTTTTGTCGTATATTTATACTGTTTAACTCTTGCTGAACTTTTATGTATCAGTTATAAGTATGATTCTCGTTCGGACAGTAAATTACTTTTAAAAAAATGCATAAATATGCGCGGATTAATTTTAAAACTGCTTCGAATTAATTATATAATAAATACAAAATGAAGACAAACTTTTTAAATTCGAAAAAAGTACACGTGATTTAATCCGTTACGTTGTCTATTTCGCAGACTGTTACGTCATGTACGAAGACCGCGCCGATTGGTCGTATTCGCCGACGAAATCGATATAGACCACGCCCACCGGGAATCACGTTTATATATCGAGGGTCACCTTGGTTCGTCCTTGTCGGCAGAAGTCAGGAAGAGGAGAACGAGTTATCTTTTAATTTTAAAGGTTAGAATTATCTATTTATTTATATATTGATAATAAACGTACACGCTTTTAATTACAGATCAAGCATTCGATTTAGATTATTGTATTTTCTATTTATTTTAGACTGAAGTTTACATTATTACTGTTGTAACTGTAATGGACATTTTCATGTTTTAAATTAAAATTTTAAAGATTTATATATAATTTAACGTTTAAATAAGTTTATAAACGTTATAAAATATACTTTTTGATATAAAATTCAGTTTAAAAAAGACCTTAAAAGTAAATATTTCATCATATCCTATATTACAGTTAATTAAGGTTTCCTCATACAGTGTAGCAGTTATGAAAGGTGACATTCCTTGAGAATATTTATGAAATTTTTACTATTTTTCTATCATAATTTGGCTGTTTTATCATATTAAAAAATATACATAATTTCTGACAAAATTTCATGTAAAAGGTATAAATTATAAGACTTAATGTAAGGTATGTGAAACAATATGCCATCTTGCCCCATTTAATGTATTTTATTCAGTTTTAATTAGAATAGTGATACTTTGAAAGGATGTTAACTTTCTAGACAAATGTCATTGGGAGAAGAATTCAAGGTCAGTGCTTAGACTTCTATTGGCAATGACATAGGTCCTAGGAAAGGCAACGAACATTGCTTTCTGGTCTATGTCCAAGTATTTCTTCTGAATTTCTATCTCTTACAGGTTTTTATTTTAAAATAAATAAATAAAATACTTACTTAATGTCGGGAGATTAAATGGCTTAATTATTGAGTAATATTTAAAGTCTGGAGAAAAATCTCTGTATTGATCCATCAGATCTGTATTTAACCACACACAATATCCAAGAAGGAATGTATCTAGATTGTCCCCTAAAAATTATAAGAATAATCTTCAAAATGTTAATTAGATAAAAAATTCTTGATAGCTTTTTCATTAATATATTGTAAAAATTAACGAATTTATGATGAATTAAAAGATAATTGGATCATAGAAAATTCCTTGTATTTTTTTTTTATATATTTTCAAAAAATTTTCACTGTTTATTACATTTACATGTTAAAATGAGCTTTTCAAATTAGTTGTGAAAAGACTGAATATAGTTTACAATCATATATATAACAGAAGAATTATTATAAGCTTATGGTATGTTACAAAAAATCAATTGCATATTTCTGTTAAATTTCCTGTGATTCAGTCAAAAGAAAAGGTTTCACTCTTCTGTACTTTACCGAAAAAAAAAATCTTCCTTCTTAATTATATTAAGCCTGGAAGTTTTAAATGAAATTGTCTCAAATATAAAATCTTTCATGTGAAGGAAATTATTCAAATATTCATAAGAAAAATATCGACAGCAAACAAATCAGTCTTAAAGAATAAATAAAACAAGAATGCTGCACATTCTATTCTTTCTTTTCAATTTTCTTTTTATAGTTTTTCCAAAGCTGTACTTGATAACTGCAAAATATATTAAAAGCTTTCTATTTAAGTCAGTTTTAATGAATTGCTTGATTTTTGTTCTCTTAAAATTCAGTAAATAAGAAGAGACTTTAATATCAAGCATAAAACAAGATTAACATTTTACTAATTCCATATTAATAAAGTTTATATGGATATTTAAAACTATAAATGAAGAAATTAGATCTGGATTAAATTTAATAAAATTGATTCTATAAATTTATAACTTTTTATATAATCATCAAGAGCATTTGTCGTCTGAAGAATGAATTCTGGAGCCAATTTTTTTTATTTTTGATTCTTTCAGAGGAGAATGCAGTTTTTTTTAATGTGAAAGAAATCTAAAGTGCACCAACCTCTTTGCTCATAGAGCATAAGACATTTAGAGTGCAATTTACTATATATATTGCAATATGTTGTTAAATGCTAACAAACAAAATTAGCAGCTTTTTATTTTAAAATGTTAACTTATTTTGGACGGAATTATGTAATTGTTACAGAAAATCCAATTACATAAATGGATCCAGGTATTCAGTGAATAACATGAACAATAATAGCAAAATTTTTAGGTCAATTCCTTGTTGCTTAATTTAATGCAATATGTCTTTGCAATTTTTTGTTCTTATTGAGCTGAATCATGCTTTATTTCTTAATGTGTTCATTGCATAATATCTGTAGAAATTATATTATTAGAAGAATTTTAAAAACAGTAACATTATTCTAAACAGTTCATAGAGATCTTTCTGCTCATTTCTTCTAGATAATTTATTAAAAATGAAGATATTAACATTGTATTATCTTTGAAACATTGTCCTAAACTGTTTAATCGCTTGAAGAAATTTGAGAAAATTTTAAATAAATTGATGACATTTTAAAAAATCTAATATAAATTTGATTTATTATACATGGATTTTTGTATAATTGTTTAAAATAGGTTACAATTTATATAAACTACACTTTTGCCATTTTTGCTTTTAATCTGTTTATAATTTGACTTAAGAAAACAAATTTTAATAGTTTTGATGACAAAATTTATTTAAGAACCAATAAAATTAAAAATATTTGTTGATTAAGGCTATAATAACATACAAATTTCTTAATTATAATAAAATTACTTTTGTGAAATTTTAAGCTCTTCAAATTAAATTGCCATTTGAAAAGCTGAATTAGGAACCAAATAGAAAATTTTTCAGATAAAAGAATTAATTCTCTCTTGTAATAGGAAAAAGCTGTTAACCTAAATTGAGTGGATATCATAAATACTAAAAAAGAAAGAATTATAATCCCTTTTTTGTAACTTGCTTTTTTGTAACTTGCTTATATGATCTTATATTAATTTATGACAGTCAATGGCTGAGCAGTTAAGGGGCCTAGTCTACTGCTCTGGAGGACCCAGGATCAAATCCAGACAGGTCAAAAACTGCAGGAATTTACAGGGGTGGTCTGACTAGACTTACTAAAAAAGAGCACATGGGCAGAGAGAATTAAAAAAATAGATACATCTAATTTACAAATACTCATTATACCATATTATTACAGTATTTAACTTACAACATGAACTTTTATTTTGTTATACTTAAAATATTTTAAAGTTGCTGTAAATTATATTTCAAAAATCATCAATCAAAAATAATACAGAAATTTATAAATTTAGAAAATATATTTCTCATTCAAAAAGAAAATATCAGTTTTAATGATCCAAATATTTATTTATATTATGTACAGTACTTTCAACCCATCCAGATTTGATCCATGGTCCCCTAGAGTGGTAGGCTGCCGATCTAACTGCTCGACCATTTGGCCTCGCTTCTTCCAGATTCTTACAAAATTAAATAATTTTGATAGTATTTTGATTTTAACGTAAACGTATTCAAACGTTCTGACGTTTAAATATTAAATTAAATACGTTTGAGAATACTTGCATCTGAAAATGGCCTATCATATTAGGTAGAGAACATTAATGTTTCTTTAAATAAACATTTTTCTCAGCATCAGGTGTTGGATGATTTATTAAATAATTTTAAATATTTCTTAAGGATTTATTTTATTTAGAATTTTTAAACTGACAAAGATAACATTAGATGAGATTAGAACAAATATTTTTAATATTTCTGCTTTGTTTTTTTATATTCAATTATTAATTTTTTTTCTTAACAAAAACTATTTTCTGTGTTTTTGATCAGTTCAAAAGTTAAATATTTTGAATTTCAGTAAACATAAAGAACAGTATTTACAACAAATAAAAGTTTGTTTTACGCTTACCTTTTAAACCAAAATATTAATTTTTTGGCTATTGAAAATATAGCCTGAAATAATGCAGTGTGTAAATTGATTTTAAGTTTAAAAGAAATTTAAATAATTGCTCAATTAAATGAATCTTCTAAAATAATTAAAGAATAGCCAATTCAATATTAAATATATAGCCTTATGCATCTATGTGTAATTTTGTATGTGGGTAGATGATATCAAATTTATCTTGTCTAAGAATTTAGATATGACCTGATTCTTCTTTGAACCTTAATGGTGAATAAGAAAGAAATTATTCAAATCCTCAACTGACAGAAATATTAGTTAAAATGTTAAATATTTAGTGATATGTAACTTAAAGAACATTGTTTTATTTAAATGATTGTCTGGATATTATTTTGAGTATAAACTATAAATTCGGTCATTTATAGTTTGTCTGGCCCCACAAAATATACAACAAACACTGATAGTTTAATAGTTTTTTTTATTTTCAAATTTATGATGTGAATGACTAGACAGTAAAAGTATCAGCTAGTCACTTTGGAGACTCTAGTTTGGATCAGGAACTTCAGAAATGTTTTTAAGGTTGGTTTGGATATTTTGGATTTTGTCTCTTGCCACCTGGCCATTCCCATTGTGGAGCTCATTATGGATAACAACACACCATCCCAGGAAATACATAATGACAAACACAGAACCAATAACTAGTGTGAAGAAAACAAAAAACTATCTCAAGACAAAATGTTTTCTAATTCCTGAGTTCTTCAGGTGCTATAGCAATTACCAGATGGAATGTTGTTTGGAACATAAAAGCTTTTTTGGAATAAATATAAATTTGAACTGAGTGTAAAAAATCTAAAGCCACACCACACATGCATTGTCCTAGCAAGGTCTACTTGACATGACTGTATAGTCATTGGTTGAATCTACATTATGTGCAGGACAGTGCATGCGCAGCTTTAAATTTTTTACATCCATAGTTTGAATTTACATTTATTTCAAAAAAGCTTTTATGTTCCAAATGACGTTCCATCTGGTACCATTATATAGTGTCTGAAGAAGAACTCAGGAGTTAAATGTTTTGTCTTGAGATAGATTTGTTTTCTTCACACTGGTTATTGGTTCTGTGTTTGTCATTACTCCTTATGGGTGTGGAAAAAAGATTGTGTTAGTGCATAAAGGATAGAAAGAATGGAGGGAACCTTAAAATACATAAATGTTTTTTTCTTTCTGTTCAATGCATCAGTTTATGTATATGATATGTCAATGTTGAGTCATGTCTATCTGAATTTATTTTATATTTATTCTATCTCGCATCTGAAATATTAAACAGTGACTTAGCATTGATTACACTGTAAATCTAACATTTTGAATCAAATATCATGAATACATTGCATATCATTACAAGTATGGTAATAATTATACTATAATGGTAGAGGATTTAATGCTAATATTATTCTAAATTTTTTTTTATTGTATTTGTTTGAGAATCTGAAAGGTGTGTACATTATTTTTTCTAGCATTAAGAGGAGAAACTTGTAATTGATGTTACAACCATTTAAGTTTGGTTGCATTTTTAATTTGTATAAAAATGTATCATGGTCTAACGACTTCATTTTTATATTTAGTTTTAAAAAAAACCACTTCAAATAAATCAAAATGGCTGGATATTTCCAATACCCTCCTAAAGAACTGCAAGATGAATTGAAGAAGATTGCCAACAACATTGTTGCACCTGGAAAGGGTATTTTAGCAGCTGATGAAAGTACTGGTGAGTAAGGAGACATAACAGATTATTAAGAGATTTAATTTAAAAACTATAATATTAATTTAAATTTACATTTTATATAGCAACCATGGGTAAGCGTTTGCAAGGAATTGGCGTAGACAACACAGAGGACAACAGGCGTGCTTACCGTCAGCTGTTATTTACCTCTGACAAGGCAGCAATGACCGAAGCCATAAGCGGCGTGATCTTATTTCATGAAACCCTTTTCCAGAATGCCGACGACGGAACACCATTTGTTAAAATTTTGGAGGATCGTGGTATTATTCCAGGAATTAAAGTCGACAAAGGTGTTGTACCATTGATGGGAACAACAGAAGAATGCACCACCCAAGGTATATTTTGGAAATCCTTTCTAATAATTTGTCTTAGGAGAATTTATGAAACTTGTTTTTTTCTAAATTAAATTAAACTTACAGGATTGGATGATTTGGCTACAAGATGCCAAGAATACAAAGCTAAAGGTTGCCACTTTGCTAAATGGAGATGTGTATTGAAGATTAGAGACCGCGAACCTTCTGCTCTCTCTATCTTAGAAAACGCTAATGTTTTGGCTCGCTATGCATCCATTTGCCAAATGGTAAATATTTTTGAAAAATTTATTATATAAGATGACACGCTCACATGCATTCACATATACTTATCAATTATTAATATTTTATAATTTAAAATAATTGAGTCATTTCAAAAATATATTATTGAACATTCATAAATTGATATTATTCACTAATAAACTTGAACATGTGTGTTAATTTACTTATGCATCTACTTCTCAGGCTTAAGTCATGTCTTGTGAGCAGCAATTGATTGCTCCAGGCAATCCAACTGATGCTCAGACTGACTCAGGTATACAAGTAGTCAGCAGCTGTGCAGCTTAAAGGAAACATTGATAAAGAGAGAACTAGTTTATTATAAGTTCATATAAATATTTTTTGAACTTGTTGGAATTGTTGCATAATTTTTATTCTTCTAGTGCACTATTAGATACTGCACAATTTCATAATCTTAGAAGTTAATAATGGATGTTAACTTTTCTTATTGAATTTTTTTAATAACCTATTTCAATATTTTAAAGAAAATAAAATACTTTCTAGACAGTTTTTATGAACTGACTAATTAGATATTGAAAGCAAATGCCAAATAGATAAATTTAATCTACATCTTCAATAAATAGTATATTGATAATTACTTCCCACTGATTAATGTTAATATTGATGTTTCCAACAATATGGAAACATTACTATAATTATTATCCAAATATTAATGTTTAAAATTTAATATAAAATCTTAATGCACTTTTAGTAGGTATAAAAGATTCTTATTTTGTCAGTATAATATACACTGTCATTTTGAAGTCATTTCTTCACTTTCCCATCATAAAAAAGAGAGTTGATTGCAAACTGTTATGAAAGTGAATACTATTCTAACAAAATAAATTAGGGTATGAATTTATAAAATCCTTACTGAATATTCAACATAAATTTTGTTATTGTTAACCTATTCTTCACCTTCATTCTAATGATCCTTGCTTCCATTTATAATTAACTAATATAGATATAACCAGATTGCAAGCATAATTAGTCTGGAAATTGATTGGATGGAAGTCCAAGTAGTGTAACTGACAATGTGTCTGCATGGTAAGCGGGAGTTGCAGGTCAGAATGCTGCTCTGGGCCAATCTTTCTTTTCTTCCAGAATATTCTAAAATTGAATTATTTGTAATTATTAAATTTAACAAGAATTGTGACAATATAGAAATTTAAAATTTTTATATCACAATTTTACAATTAACCCATAAAATATCAATGTTTCTCTCTCTGTAGAATAGAATCGTTCCTATTGTCGAGCCCGANCTGCAATTTTAATAATTTAATTTATTTAATTTAAAATATATGCACTCCACCTCAAATTAGTAGTGACTTGCCCCTGTATAGCACTGTACATCATACTTTTCTGTTAGGAATGGTGTCGTGCTGGTCATCTATCTAACTCCTTTCAAGGGAAAAGTTTGAATTGAAATAACATGACTTTCGGTTTACATCGAAAATTCATATACAGTTAATCGGAGCCTGATATTCCTAAGCTTTCCATATCTAGTCTTGCTTTTTATGTATCTAACTCATTTCTCGAGATTAAAAAAGGCCACGGACGGACGGAAGACAGTGAGAATTTATAGATCTACAATTTTTTTCAAATTGCAGCCCAATAAAAAAGTATCCCTTATGACAAAGCGCTCAAACTAATTAAAACAATCAAGCAGGCAGTGGAACAAGAAGCTAGATAAGAAATTAAAACAACTTAGACTAAAAGCATCTAATGCTAATTCATGTACAGTAAAACCTCGTTATAGGATAATTCGAAGTATCGCGTAATTCGAAGCCAAATCTTGTCTACAGTCAAGAGAATAAGATTTTGCATATACAGTAAGACCTCGTTTAGCGATTCCTCAATTAATGGTGATTAGATATAACGAGGTCTGCTCGCAGCCTTAAAAAAGCTCAAAATTTACGCTTATTCAAATTATTGCGGCTTTTCATTGATTCGTATATAATAAGATCATTACCGAACGCGAACCAATCAGTAAAAGGTGACAATTCGTCGTATCGCTGTACATCCTCTAAGTCTATGTTTGTTTGATGCAATTTTGGAAAAAATATAACATCACCGATGCAATAGGAAATATCGACTTCGCTTGGCAAGAATTAACTGATAAATGCATGAACGGAATGTGGAAGAAGATATGGCCGAAAGTATCCAAGGATTCTCAATGAGAAGAGCCTATCGTTGACAAAATTGTCAACCTAACCGATACAACAGGACTAGAAGATGCAGACGAGCAGGAAGGATATTGAGGAGTTACTGCAGGATTTTGGTGAGAGCCTTACCAACCACGACATTCAAGAACTGGCAGAACAAGGAATTCATTTAGAACTGGAAAATAGAAATATTGAAAACGAAGAACCCAAAGAACTTATTACAGATTTTCTTAGTAAAAGTTTGGTAACGATAACCGAAATCATTGATCAAACTGCAGCGAATGATCTAGATTTTAAAAGGAGTGCAAAAGCAAGATGAGGCGTTTTGGATGCGATCTCCTTTGGATTTTCTTAACGAAAGGAAAAGAAAGCGACAAATGACACTAGACGAGTTCATCGCAAAAAAATCAAGAATTTCAGAAGAGTCCGGATCTTCATCATAAAAGTGAACTTTATATTTCTGTGTGGATATGTTTAAGTGTTATGCAACATATATTATTATGCAAATTAATATAAAAGTAACTTAAAGTAAAATTTGTTTACATTTGGACGCGTATTCCCCTTTCTCTATTTACTATGGGTTAAAATGACATCGTTTAATGCTGTTTCATTTAGCGCTTTGTCGTCTAGAAACGCGTCATAACCGCTAAATGAGGTCTTACTGTATTTTACTTCGGATAATTCTAAATACGCGTACAATAAAACTCGAAGTTATTATCTGTTCCGGTGACTTCAAAAGTATTGTTTAATTTGAAATCTTTTATCATATTACCTGTTTATAAGGAGAGTTTTCATGTCCAAGTGGCAGTTTCGTTTTCGGTTTTACCAATTATACATTGTCGATTTATTGGACGTCCATTCAATGTCATTCGGACATTGCTGACGATAAAGGGAGAATTTTTCTTTTTACTTTTTTATTTGTATGGAAGCAATCTGTTTGGAATATAATTAGTTTTGATATTTTTCGTAAAATTCTATTGCTTCAATAATTCCAAAGTCCATTAAATACATGTGCGTATTTACGATAGAATAAGTACTTATAGCTTTAGCCGTTAATATAGCTTGTTTTCATCATATCCTATAATTTTCGTAATTCCGAACTCTTCATTAAAGTTTCTTTCGTTTGTTATTTAGATCTCGCTTTGAACGTAGTTTCGTTGAGTGTTCGTTCATTGTTTTCAGTTGGTGTGAACCTACTAAGTAATAACTCGTAATTTTAACGCGTTTGTAACCGAATGGGTGAATTTATATAAGAAAATGTCATAATTTTATTCCAGAATTACAAAAAACATTTGATTCGAAAAAATTTCGGATAATTCGAAGTACCTTGGTTTCGAAATAACGATGTTTTACTGTACATATTTCAAGACAGCAAAATTCAATCACACTCTTAGCAATCTCTGTGAATGATATAATAACTTAGTTGCATTGAATGATAATTTAATTTTTTCATTTCAATGTCCTCTTCTGTACATATTTCTTACCTGCTAGAATAAATTGTTCTCGTGAAATAGAGGCGTGTCTCTATTGCTCATTTAAAATAAGTTACTTTATATTCACTCCCCTGGCCAAAGTCATAATAGTTGTGGCATCTGCTTTGGTTTGTTTCCTCTTTTTCATATACAGTAGTATTTATTTATTTACTGAATTAAATTAAAAGATAAAAAATACGAATTTTGTAGTTATTATTAGAAAAAATGAAATTGTAATTTTATTTTATTTTATGTTTTTAAACATCTTTATAAATTTTACCTAATTTAATTGTTGTAGAAACATACTTTTAAAACTCTTTTATATAAAGTTGTCTGTTTAGATCTAGTGAGAATGTATAGGTGTATAATTTCTGATGATATCTTGTCGATCTTTTTATCAATAAAAAAACTTTTGAGAGAAAATTTAATCTTTAATATCGTTGTTAATAATACTCACAGAATGTAGAAATATATACATGTATCACAGTGGCGCTTTATAGCTTCATGGAACCCAAGCGAATTTGAATTAGGGGGAACCATGTGTACATGCATTGTTTGCTTCAGATATTTTTCTTCGAGAGAATCTTTTAGAGGGAAATACTTTCTTATAAAAGATTTGTTTGAGATCCCTTGTTAGTGGGAGTCCCAGGAAATTGCCCTTTTTGCCCATAGGATTAAGCGCCACTGGTTTACAGGAAATATTATGTATATAGGTATAACAAATAACAGTAAATATATGACATAGAACTAACTGAAAAGTACAATTACAATATACAAGAAAAAAATTTAAAAGGGAATGGTATATTCTATATATATATTGTAAGAATAAAATATGTAAAATATTACATTCATACAGAAGATAATATTAAAAGATCAAATATATATCTTATAAATTAAAACTTTTAAATAGTTCATTGAATTATTAGGATAATATATAAAGCAAAACATTTTAAAATTTAGAATATGTCAAGAATTTTTTAAAATAATATTAGTATAAATAAATAAAATAATTTTCATTTCCATTATCGAAAGTAAAGTGCTTCCAAAATTTCAAACGAAAATTAGAACAAATAAATAAAATAAATTTAATTGCATGCAAAATAATACGTGTATCAGAAAAACACAGACCAAAGCAATGTGATATAACCCATATAGATAGTAAATACGACTGTTGCCATGAAAATAATAGCAGGGACTAGGAGAACAACTAACAGTAAACCAAAAAGTTGCTGTGGGCATTACACGACCAATTGCAATCGGCACTTGTGGGGAAAAGAAATAGCTTTCCAATTTGCTTTCGCTTATTCTGGAAAACTTATCAGATCTAGACCAGAAGTTCTTTATCCCATCGTATTAAATATTTCGACAGGATTTTGTTTAAAAATTTTTTCAATGGATTACGACTGCCTGACAAATAATTACACGTATAACTAGAAATAACATATGCATCTCCACTCCCAATTGTAGACAACGTCTCAAGAATATCATTACATTTTAGATGAGTTTATAATACCTGTTCTGCCAAACATATATTTTGCCGCAATTTTCGGCGTTTTAAACATCTCTGTAAAGTTTTAGTTTATGAATTACGCGGTTAATGCGTCTAGTTTTACTTATTATTATTATTTTTTTCTATTTTTAACTTTTATAGTTTTAATATGTACGGCCCTTTTAGTTTATTTTAGATATTCTACACTATTTTCGTCCTATTTTATACTCACTTTTAAATTTAATTTATAGTACTTCTTTTTTGTCGGAGTTTTAATGGTTGTTCCTTTTTTATTATTATGTTACCGCATTCAGTTACTGGTTTTTTTTATCCTGTGGTTTACACTGTTATGTATGAGGCTGTTAATCTCTATTCCAATTGGACTTTACTCGCTGTATTCGGACATAAATAAATAAATATAAGCACATAAATTTCAATTTTCCTCAGATCATTCTGATGACAGCTAATTCATTTCTATATGATATATTCAGGTGGCGTTCAACCTTTCTTAATATGCCAGCTGCCCACCGGTAACCGAGTGGATAAAACCACAAAACACTTGTAGTTCGCACTTGACCAACGGGCTGTCCACGTGTCTAACACATAAATAGGGGCCAGTTGTCCATAGAAAGTCCTTTCGGAGAGCATTCTCCTTAGCAGATCGTTCGTGTGTTGCATTGCCACATTCCATCAAACCAACCATCTATTCTTCTGGTTTCCTTAATGGATGGGGAATTCAGGATGTCTAAAGGTTCCGTAGAAAACCCGAACGAATACATTTGTGACGCATGTACTAACATAATATTAAATATATTAATACGCTATTTACTATAAGCGAGAGGAATATCTTACATGTAGATTATGTAATTTACAAGTGACTAAACAATAGAGAGGTTGTAATTTACAAGTGACTAAACAATAGAGAGGTTGAGGCGCACGTTTTAAACGTGTAAACGTGTACGTGTGACGTTCGGCGCCGCTTTCCTGTAAGCCTAAAAGTTTGACTATGGTGTTTGGAATGTCGAGCGTGATTCCACCGACTATCCAAACACCATTGTCAAACTTTTAGGTTTACGGGAAAGTGGCGCCGAACGTCACACGTACACGTTTACATGTTTAAAACGTGCGCCTCAACCTCTCTAATAAAA